ATATGCATTTTAATTGTTTGAATTTCATAGGGTGGGAACTGTTAGCTCCGGATAAATTTATTTGAGTAATATAGAAATTTTATTAATATTGCCCAATCAAATTATAACGTTGACGCATTTAAAAAGAAAAGTTCATATAAACTGTTGTACGTGCCCTCACTTTTTTGCTGCGGGCACGCAAAATTAGTTTTCGATAAATTTTGTTAATTTGTTAATCAAAACACCATATTTTCAGTATTTCATAAGGGTCTCAGGTTTTAGTAGAAAGAAGATTTACTTTTACATGCCCTTACTATTCCGCTGCGGGCACGCAAAATTTATATTCAATCAATTTGGAATATACCGTAGATATACATTCATGGATATTACAGGAATATTTGTTTTGAACATACTAGGTATATTCACCTGCGCATATACACAATATGTACATACCTGGCATGTTCATCTGCACATATACCCAATATGTACATACCTAGGATATACTTTTTATGAACTTTGATGAATATACATGCATGTATATTCCACGAACATTTATGTTAGAAATGTTCAACCATGTATATTCCCAGGATATTCCCGCAATGTTTTGTATATTCTTTGAACATTCTGGGATATTCATAGAATATCAAATGCTATCTGGGAGGTAGGTATACTTGCCGCATATATCACATCCAAACGGACGCTCTCCAGAATGAATCCTTGCGTGATTCTGCAAAGTGGAATGTTCCTTAAACGCCCGCCCACATTCGTTGCAAACGTACGGTTTCTCGGAGGAATGATAGAGCATGTGCTTGTGGTAGGACTGTTGAAATGTAAAGGACTTATTGCAGATTGTGCAAGAATACGGCATTTCACCTGCAAATGGACATTTTCTTGCAAATAAAGCTGCACTCGATGGACTCCCCAACCTACCAGTATGCAATCGTTTGTGTTTCTTCAGAAAATACTTCGTTGTGAACATTTTGGCGCACACATCGCAGCTCCATTGCTTAAAATCTTGCGCCCTGAGACCTAAAAAATACGTTACGAGTACTTGAAAATATGTATTGAAAACGCACTCTTATTCATCCCGTCTGGTTCCAGTGAGTCGCTTAAACCACTTTCGGCTCTATTCAGCAAATCGGGAGGCAGATTTATATGGTTGGTGAAGCCGTAGTGAGCAACCTGCCAACAACAGAAATTAACGTTAATGTAGTTTCGCATCAGATTCGATATTCTTATTTGGACTAGTTCTTTTGGCAATCTGAAATTTATTCGATTTTTTACCTTATTCGCAACCGTACCAATGAGGAAAAGCCCGCTCATTTTGCTTCAAAAAATTCGAGACCCAAAAGTTCACTTACTCGAAGATGCACCATAAGACTGCCTCTCATCCTGAATCGTTTGCTGCACAAATGGCAATGATAACTGCACTTCCCAGTCTTTTCATCTGCAGACGTTTGGTGCAGCAGTTGTTGGTGCATTTCCAAAATATTCCTGTCCATGAAGGTAAAGCTGCAGATATCGCAGGCCAGCACTTCCTCACTCTGAACGCTTACTAACTCTGAAGGGCTTGGCAATGTGACCAGGGCAGGGCTTGAATCCTGCAAATCCACTATTCAATCACCCAATTAAATTCCAGTAAAACTTACTTCTTCGGTGGTTGTGCTCAGATGATCAAGTTTCACTGCGTTAAGGCTTTGATCTTCACAGGCACTAAGGCTGTAGCCTTTGGAGGAAATAGCCGCACTATTAACGTGTCCAAATAGATGGATTGTTAACTTGTCCAAGCCCTTGAGCGTTTCCTGGCAAACTGGACAGGTCAACGGGGCCGTGGCAACATTGACTAAGGTCGTCCGCAGGGAATCCACCCCTTCGAAATGGGGCTTGGAGCACAAGGGGCACGATAACAACATTTTCCCGATTTTTCCCACCGCAGAGCAAACCTCTTGTGGAACACGAGAGATGTTTATTAATTTTCTGAGCTATTTTTAAGTCGCATGGAAGCGCGCGTTTAGCGGCCACTGGGCTAAATTTAGGAACCTGGATTTTTGTTAAGATTTTGCCAAGTTTTATTTGATATATTGTTAATACCGGCTGGATTATTGTCGCAATGTCGCGGTTTTTTGGATGCTGGATGGGAGAAATATCTAACTTTTCAACGTTTTTATGTGCTAATTCTACCGAGACACTTTTAATGGCATGGTGGCAACAATTTTAAATATAACGCAAACTAAATAAAAATGCTTGATTTCCCAGTATTTAGACTTGATGTTTCTCCATGCAAACAGTCATGATTTAATTAACCATGCACTAGGATTTTTGAAGTGATAACTTTTTATGGGAGGGTGAACCGATTTTTCCACGCTCCCACTCCGGCCTCTTCGCGCCTGAGGCTTGAGACGCACAAATGCACTTTGAATTCGACATTTTTCTCTTAGTCCGGGTGCATCTGTAGATCTGATAAACTTTTCAACAATTTTATAACACATTGCGTTATTAAACTGACAGTG